TACGCTCCGCTCTGCACTCTTGCATCCCCGGATGCTGAGCCTTTACTAAAGAAGTGATCTGTAGACAATCTTCTTAGCAGCTCCCTGCCCCAAAACCAGATCCATCCTCTCCTCCCGCACTATGAGCCGTTTATCCCGCTTGCTGCTGCCTGTACGTCATCCCTAAGAGTTCCTTCCACCTGAGTTTGTCTGACACATGTGTGTGAAGGTTCCATCTGGCCAAGCTTGCAGGAATGTGGGCAATTCCCAGTTACAGCGGAGACAGACGGGCTCCAGAGGATCGCTTTATTCCTCAGAGTCTGCAGCCTTGTGCCTTTGAAAGCTCCTGTCTAGTGAAACAGTCTTCTGTCCGTAACGCGGGAAGAGTGTGCAAAAGGGTGAAATTCATATAGTGGATGAGTTGATAAAGGCGGTTGATTAGTTATGTATGCAGAGCTGCAGGGGCAAATTCTTCTTGCTTGTTTTTCTGTTTTTACATTGTCCCCCTGAAAAAATATTTGCATAAGCCCCAGCTCAATGGAATTGGCACTGCTGAGCTCTGTAAGCTGATACTAAAATCTAGAACTCTTAAACATCCCATGTAACTGTAAACATGCACTTCTCTTCTTTCTTGTATCCTCCCTCCCTGACCTCCCTTCTTTTATTATTTCCTTGCCTCTTACATTTTATTTACTTTTGCTTCCCTAGACATATATTGAAGGAGCCATTCAAATCCTTGGCCTCTTGTGAGGAAGCATCATGATTTCTGTGTTTGCACATAGCAGACCTGTTGTCGCATCTCATCCAGCTGAACAACCAGAGCACGAGCTCTTCCATCTCCTAGGCATGTAGTGTGGACCTGCCTGTGGCATTCGTGCTGCCAGGCATGCTCCTCCACACCCCCATCACCCCACGGCCTGGCCGTCTTACAGAAGGAAAACCTGGCAGACTCGTGCTTCCCCTGGCTAAGTCTGTGTCTGTAAAGTCAGAGTGGTGATGAGACAGGATCATCTGAAGCCCTCTAAGCTCAAAGCCACCATCTGCATCTGTTCCAGCTGTGCTCCCCTGAGATAACCTTAGACCCACTGATTTCCCCTTGTGATGCTCTGCTCTATCTGGAAGTACAGAGTTCTGCAGATGATAGTACCAAATATCTTTCTCTGCCCAGTTTCCAGATATCTCAAACATGGTTTATTACAAATTTTCCTCCCTCTAGGTGTGTGGTGGCACATACCTGTAATCCCAGCACTTGGGAGACAGGAGGATTGCTGCAAGTTCAAGGCCAGCCTGGGCTACAACATGAGTTCAAGGCCAGCCTGAGCTACATAGTGAAACTCTCTCTCAAAGAGAAAAAAATTGTCCTCCCTCTTTCTTGTTTGACTGCTCATGAAAAAGTTATCATAAATTCATTATAATACCATTAAAGTATTCTTTTATCATAAAGCTAGGGGTGTGTGTGTGTGTGGTTTGTGTGTGTTTGTACAAGTGTGTGTGTGATGCATTGGATATAGATCAAGAAAAGGTGCCAGTGTGACCCACAGTGACCTGGCCCGTAAAGTCTCCCAGTAACCTCTAATTACTGTTATCTATCTCTTTATTATTAATATTGCAATTCCAGCACATAAAATAACTTAATCATTTTTTGGAATTTGCATGACTAATAGAGTGAGTTCTGATAGAATATGGATAAGTTTCATAATTAGGTTTTGCCAGGAACTTGTACAAACCAGTCTATTTATAATTTGGTCAGCTCCTGATTTTTAATGAGGACACTGAGAGGGACTGAAGCCTCTGGCAGCATTCACTTCATATTTTAATTACTCACAGTAATTCTGACAATTACCCACATGTCATAAATCACATCATAATGACCCACAAAGAAAGTATGTTTAATTACTGAGAGGGGAGTTCTCTGATTAAATAGGTACCTGGAATTACAGGGATGCGACCCCTTTTGCAGACAGAGTAGCCTGAGTCTATGACACAGAAGGACCAGTCTCTGAAACGTGTGTCAGACTAAGGAAAGTCATCAAGTTTATGGTTCTAGCTCCAAAATATAAAGAAAGAAGAGCTTTGAAGTTTCTCCTATCCTTACTGAAAATTAAAACTGACCAGAGAAGATTGGATGGACTGAAAATTAAAGACTTCCTGGTTCAACAGAGAATCAAAGTTACAGGCAAAAAACAAAGTCACCCTAAAATCAGTTTGGAGTCAGAGCAGAGATCTGCTTTTTTGGGGGGAGGCCTCTGCAGTTATCAACTGTGGAAGACTCTTCCAGGGTAGTTCTGGTGATTTCTTAGAGGCTGTGTACTAAGTGACAAGTGAGAAAATTGTAAAGTTGCAGAATTAGAGGTCCTCCACACTTGGGAGTCTACCTCTAGAAATCCCACCAAGTCGCACTGCAAAAAGACCTCCTGGGAAAGTCCACAAATTGCCCTTGGAGTGTGAGAACAGTTACCATGGTGAGCACACCCAGGTGTTCCAGTATAAGAGCTTCAGCTGGCAGTCCAGTGCCATGTCTGCCTGGGGTGATGGCATGTCCTTCAACAGTTCCTCTCCCCTTCCTGCCTTGCCTAGGGGTGGGAGGTGAGGTTAAGACACACCATGAAGGTCTCAAATTCAACAACAGTGCTACCAAGTGAACTGAGATTTAGTCATCAAAGTACGAAATCTTCTCTTCTATTACTACCACACCCAGAGGAGTCTAGTACAAAAAGTGAGTTGTGGTGGAAATAGTTCTTAACAAAACCAAGTGAGGACCGAGGAGTGAAAAACAAGGCCACAGAGGGTCTCGGAGAGTCTGTCACACCATCAACAATCCAACATAGTGCAGCTCCTAGCTAGACTGGTATTAAGTCTCACAGTAAAGATTTCTAGTATTTTTGAGGAATGTCTACGACAATTTCCACAGTGATTGTACTAGTCTGCACTCCCACCAAGAGTGCAGAAGGGCTCCTTTTTCCTCACAACCCCTCCAGCATTTGTTATTGGTTGATTTCTTGATGACAGCCATAATTTCTGGACTAGATGGAGTCTCATCATTGTTTTAATTTGTATCTCTTGAAAGACCAGGGATGTTGAACATTTTTTCATCTATTTATTCCCTGTTTATATTTCTTCATCCAAGAAGTGTATATTCATCTCAGATACACATTTATGGGCTGGGTCTTTAAATGTCGGGGATCTGAGTTTTTGCAATTCTTTATGTGTTCTAGATATTAGTCCTTTGTCTGAGGGACAACTGGCCAAAATTTTTTACCACTCTGTGGGTTTTATTTTCCCTCTATTGGTAATTTTCCTTGCTGTTCAAAAGCTTTTTAAGGAATGAAGATTTAGCTCAGTGGCTAAGGTGCTTGCCTGTTAAGCACAAGGTCATGAGTTCAATCCTCAGTACCAAAAAAAAAAAAAAAAAAAAAAAAAAAAGACTGCTCAATAGGTTTTTAATATGATGAGATCCCAGCTGTTGATTCATGGTAGTCTTTTCTGTGCCATTGAGGTTCTGTTCATGAAATTTTTCCTACACCTGTGTCGTCGAAGTTTCTACATATTCTCTCTTCCAGCAGACTTAGTGTTTCTGTTTTAAAATTTAGATCTTTGACATGATTCTAATTTTAGTCTTTTGCATGTAGAAAGCCAGTGCTTCTAGCATCATTTATTAATGAGATTATCTTTCTTCCAGTGAATATGTTTGGCTTCTTTGTCAAAGATAAGGTAGCTGAGTGTGTTTAGACTTCTTTCTGCATCTTCTAATCTTTTCCATTGATCCTTAGGTCTGTTTTTTTTGTTTTGTTTTGTTTTTGTTTTATTTATTTATTTTTTTGCCAATACCATGCTATTTTTATTACAGTAGCTTTGTAGTATAATTTCAAGTTAGGGATTATGATGCCTTTGTTAGGGATATCTTGCCTTTGTTACCAGTAACTGTTTTTCCTATTCTATGTCTCTTGTGATTCCAACGAATTTTAGGAATGTTTTCTCTAGTTCTGTGAGATATGCTAATTGTATTTTAACTAGGATTATATTAAATCTGTATAACAATTTCAGGATTATGGCTATTTTTTTCTTCCTACCCATGAGCAAGGAATATCTTTCCATATTCTGATATCCTCTTTCGTTTCTCTTTTCAGAGATTGTGGTTTTAATTGTATAGATCTTTTACTTTCTTTGTTAGAAAGAGGTCACATTTGACTCAGTTATTCCCCTTCTAGGTGTCTTCCCCAGAAGAAAAAAAAATCATAGCACAACCATACATGTGCCTCCATGTTTATAGCCTCACAGTTTGTAGTTGCTAAATCCTGTAAACAACCTAAATGCCCATCAACTGAAGAACTGATAAAAATATGTGGGTTTTTAATATGATGGAGTACTACTCAATCACAAAGAAGGATACATTTGATGCATTTCTAGGTAAATGGATGCACCTTGAGACCATACTCTTAAGTGAAATAAATTGGACACACATACACAAATATCACATTGTCTCCTGATGTGCAAAACTGAAATAGTAAATAAGGACCAAAATTTACCATAGATAATATGAAATAGGAAGAAATTTTTCGAAAGGAAAGAGGAACTTGGGAGGAGGAAAGAGAAAAGGGAAGAAGGGAAAATAAAAGGATAAAAGGATAAAATGAAAGCAAAGACTTGTAGATAAAGAGGGGAAGAATGAGTGAAGGGGGGACTTGGAAAAAGAGGGGAATCGAGATACATAATATACAGATACAAATACGCTATGATGAATATGATCATTATGTATACCTAAATTTTACCAATAAATCAATTTTTTTAAAAAAATGAAAATACCATTTACTGAGAATAAAAGACTTCTAACCTCAGCAACGTCTTAAGTGATGGCAAGGTGGCTTAGGGTGTAATAAGCTGCTCAGGCTGCACATGAAACAAGTGGACTTAGGCTAGTTAAAAACGTGAACTGACAATTCCTGAATTTTTTAAAAAGATGTATAAGTGACACGAATGACAAGAGCTAAGATTAAATCATATAAAAGATTTTCTTGCCTGAGATGGAAGGAAGAAACAAAGAACAATCACAACAAATAGAAAATCAACTGCAAACATGATAGATATTCACTACATCAATTATCACCATTGGTGTGAATGATTTAAATACAGCAAACAAACGAGAATTAGAAGAACGGATAGAGATGCAAAAAGTTACCTTTAATATGAAGATTCAGAGGGCTTAAAAATGTAATGATGAAGAAAAGACATTAATTGGAAGGAAAATGTGAGTACCTACATTAATTTTAGCTAAATAAACTTAGAACAAGAAACATTGTCACAGATAAAGGAGGGCATTTCATAATAACAGGATAATACATAATAAACCTAAACTTGTATGCTCTTAAATACAAGGCACCAAAACACACGGAGCAAAACCAAGGGGGCTAAGGAGAAATAGACAAACTCTCTAGGAGTAGTGGCGACCTCACGAGCTCTCTGTCAGTGGTTGTTCAAGCTAGAAGAGAATAAGAATACAGCGGATTTGCGCAGCGCTCCCAACCACTTGATCTAATTGTAATGTGTAGAATTCCCTATGCAAAATAGCAGAATGAAGAGTTTTCTCAAGTGCATAGAATAAATTATGTTCTAGACCATGCATTTAGCAAATGTAAACGAATACAAGTCAGATGAAGTATGCTATACAGTACCAGTGGAATTAAACTAGAAAACTATAACAAAAATCTAGGAGACCTCTCCAGAAGAGAACATGAAACATTACACTTCTAAATAACACATACACCCAGTGTCTGGAGAGAAATTTGATTTAGTTATTTTTTATTGAGTACTAATCTATATTTATTTTCTTTTCAGCTTTTGCTTTAGTCCTTGTTTATATTACATAATGATGACATTCCTTGTGTGGAGTTTGTGCATGAATACAGCAGATCTCAATTCTTTTTTTTCATCCCCTTTTCCTCTTTCCTCTCCCTCTATCTCTTGATCCCTGTACCATTTGAAAAAAATCTCCCAACTTCTTACTATCTATCTTTTATTTTGCTCCTTATTTACATTTTGGGTCTTCTGTAAGAAAATTCTTGAGATATTTAAGCTTGTGTGTCTGTCTGATTTATTTTACCTAAACTTATGGTTTCAATATGCATCCATTTTCTCACAAATGACTCAAGTTTACCCTTCTTTTATGCAGACTAGTGCTCCACTGTGTATAAATATCACATTCTCTTTTTCCATTGATGTGTTGATGGATAGATAGGCTTCTTCCGAGATTTAGCTGTTATGAATTGTGCTGCTACAAGTATGACTGTGCATGTAATATGATGCCTTTGACTCTTTCCAGAGGAGACCTAGAAGGGAAATACTTGCATTAAGTGGAATTTCTAGTTTCAGTTTTCTGAGGATTCTCCATCATTATTTCCTTAGTAGTTTTATAGTTTACATTCCCACCAACAATCAATGCAGTAGGGTTCCTTTTCCTCCGCAGTGTCGCCAGCATTTGTTACTTGATTTTTTTTTATAATAGCCATTCTTTCTGGAGTAAAATGGAACCTTAGTGTTGTTTTAACTTCCATTTCTCTAAGGGCCAGTGATGTTGAATATTTTCTCATGTATTTATTGGCCATTTTTACTTCTTCTGAGAAGTATACATTCATTTCAGTTTTGCATTTTGTAATTGAGTTTTATTTGGGGAGTTTAATTTTTGAGTACTTTATATATACTAGATATTAATATTCTGTCTGAGGAATTGCTGGAAAACTTCTTTTTCCTCATTCTGTAGGTTTTCTCTTCAATTTTATGGTTGTTTCCTTTGCATTGCAAAAGCTTTTTTATTTATCGCACGCTGTGATTTTTGGTACTATTTCTAATGTCTTTGTGGTTCTGTAGGTTGTCACTATCTGCTCCAACGTCTTTAAGAGTTTTATGTATTTTATTCTGCAGCAGCTGGAATGTTTTTCTTTTAGCAGTGAGAGCATTGGTCCATTTTTGCTTTAGTATATACTGAGATATATGGGTCTAAACTCAATGTTCCGCATTTGAATGAGCAGTTTTCTCAGAAGTATTTATGAAAGACGTTATCTCTTCCAATGTATGTTTTCGGCCCCTCTGTCAGAAGTCCAAGCCGCTGACTGTGTGTGGGGCTGTTTTGCTCCCTCTGTTCTGTTTCAGAGATCTTACCTGCTTTTGTGCCGCTGTTGCTGTAACATAACTTCAACCTCAAGACCGCGATGGATGCCTCCTGCTTTGCCTTTGTTATCCAGGCTTGCTTTTTCTATGATTCCATTTGAATCTCCAGTCTCTCTTGGCTCCATATGAATTTTCACATCATTTTCTCTAGATCTGTGAGAAATGTTGTTGGTAGTTTGACTGGGTTTGCATTCATCTCTGCCAGTTTGGGAAATGTGGTCATTTGGACTGTATGAGTACTTCCTCGCCAAGAGTGGGGCATGCCTTGCCATTTTCCGATGTCCTATCTGTGTTTCAGATGACTATAGTTTTTGTTGCACAGATCTTTCCCACCTTTGTTAAGTTAATTGCTAAATATTTAATTTTTAAAGAGAAAATCTGAAAATGCCTGCAACTAATAAATGATCACAGCAATGCCCTAGGTTACCCAATAAGTATACAAAAGTCTGTGGCTGTTATTTATACGGGCCATCAAAATGAAATTTTAAGTTTTAAAAATACCCTTCCAATAACAACTAGCGATGCATGGCGTGGGGTTCTCTGACTGCAGCTCCCACCGGCCACTGAGCCAGCGGTAACGACTGCTGCCCTACAGCACCACGTGCTGCTGAGCTGGGACGCACAGCAGGCTGAGAGCCCTAAGTGGTGTCTTCCCCTTACTGAGATTTTGCATTGATGAGAGATTTATTAGAACCCCATCATAAGCCAGCGAATATCTCTATTCTTACTAATTAGGAAATCCTTCCAATCTCATTAAGTCAGAGCTGGAATGAATCCCTGTGTTTAGCTTTGCCTTAAACTTCCCCACACAGACATCATTAATTTTTCATAAATTTAGATGGACGTAATGGCAAAAACATGGTAAGCACATTTGTGATTCTTTATGGAAGAATGTATTGATTATAATTTAACCATTTCTAGACTCGTCACTTATTATAAATGTCAATAATTATACAATTACAGCACATATAGTTAATTGAATTATACAGAAAAATTGACTTTAAGGAAAATGAATAATAGAAGGCAATACGTTGCCTTTTCTGTGGCTATTTCTTTAAATCAGTTTTTACTGAGATATAACTCAGTGCAGTATTCACCCTGTAAAACATACAGTTCTTTGTGTTAAGTGTATTTATACAACAGTGCAACCACTATGACTGCCAAAGTTTAAAATGGGTTCATTACACACAAAGAAAACTTTGTGACCAAAGCAGTCACTTTCCAGTTGTCCCACCCTACTTCTCCCGGTAACCACCAATCCTTTCTGTCTCTCGTAGTTTGCCTATTGAGATTCAATGAAAACAGAACTGTGCGTGATCCTTTATCTGACTTCTTTTTCTTAGGAACTATATTTTAATATATTAATTTTTATTCCTTTTTGTTACTAAAAGTATTCCATTGTATTGATGCACTACATTTTCTTTTTGTTGTGAATAATGCAGCAATGAATATTTGTGTACGGGTTTTCATATTGACACACGTTTTCAATTTTCTTGGGTCTGTGCCTCGGAGCCAGATTGTTGGGTCACGTGGTTAACTCTAAGGGCAGCATTCAGAGGAACTGCGAAACTGTTTCCTAAAGCAGATGCACTGTTTCAAAACCATACCCACAATGTATAAAGGCTGCTGTTTACCTAAATCCTCTTTAATACATTTACTGATTGGTCATTTTGATTGAGCCATCTAAGCCAATGTGAAGTGATACCTCATTGTGAGTTTTCAAAATTTGTTTGTCATTGTAGTTCAAGACATAGAATTCAGCAGAGATCTACCGCTGAATTTATCTCAAGCACTGTTAAAGATATTTTTTAAAACAAGGTCTCATTAAGTTGTCCACGCTGACCTCATACTTGGGGTCTTTTTGCCACAGCCTCCTGAGTAGCTGTGTTTTTATTTGATTCCCCTAATAGTTAATGATAGAGTGAGGATATAATTATTTGTATATCTTCTTTGAAGAAATGTCTATTCAAATTCTTTACCTGTTTTTTACTTGATTGCCTTTTTGTTAGGCTGTAAGTTATTAATATTGCCTAATTCATTTATCGGATACATTGGTGGCAAATTTTCTTTCATTTTATGAGCTGTCTTTGCATTTCCTTTTGGAGCCCCTTGAACTACCAAGTTTTAAATTTTGATAACATCCAAAGAATTGTTAATTGCCTTTGCTTTTTGGTATTATGACTAAAATACTAATTCTTAATCACAGATTTAAATCTATAAAAACTTGGGTTTACACCGATGCTTTCTCTCGAGTTTGATGCTTGGCTCTTATATCTAAGTCTTCATTCCACGTGTAGTTCATGTTTGCATAGGCTGTAAAATGCTGACCCAAGTTCTTTCTTGTGTATGTGGCTATCTGGTTGTCCTGGCAGTATTTGCCCAAATACTTTTCCTTCTATTGTATTGTTCTGGCACACTTAAAAAAATGATTTGAGCATAAATATAAGGGTGCACATCTTGAATCAATTCTGCTGTGTTAATTTATCTTTGTCCCAGTAAGTTGCTTTCATAATTAATGTAATTTGTAGTGAGTTTTAAAATCAAGAAGTATGATTCTCCAACTTTGTCATTATTCTTTTGATTATTCTGTTTCTTTAATGACTATATGAATATTAGAATCAGTTTGTCAAGTTCTGCTTAAAAAACAGCTATGTTTTGCTGGAGATTGATTTGAATCTTCAAATCAGAAAGCTTTGCCATCTTAGTATTTATTCTTACAAGCCATGATCATGCAGTATCTCTGCTAAGTCTTCTTATATTTCTTTCAAAAAAGCTTTGTAGGGCTCACTGTAGAAATTTCCATATGCTTTAAGGTTTTTTTCTAAGCATTTGAATCCATTTTGACTGTTATAAGTGTAGTTGTTTGCTTAATTTTATTTTCAGTGCGAGAGTGTAGAAATAAAATTCACTTTTGTATAGT